TGAGCTTTTATTCTTGCATGTAATTTATATTTATTTGTTAATATACAAATTAAGTTTTTTCATAAAATATTATGTAATTACTTATATAAATTATCCAATAAAGATATGAGCAAGGCCTCACCTTAAAAAAAAAAAAAAAAGAAAAAGAAAAATTAATAAAAAACTATTTTAACAAAAAATACTAAGAAAGCCTTATCTAGTTGGAATTGAATTTAAAGTTATTGCTAATATTAAAGCTAACTTGGCTTTATAACTAAATTCTATAGAACCCCCAGAATTTGTAAAAAAAAAAAATTTCTGATAATAATATGCAACTGTATTGTAGTTAACTAAACTATGGTTTCATAGTAGTAAAATAATTATTGTAAATTTGTAATTCAATAGTGTAGATACATGTATTACTTTGTATAAATATAGTTTTATTCAATTTTATAATTAAAAAAATATTATTATTGGCCAAAACATATTCCTTTTGATATTATAGATGTTTTAGAAAATAAATATGGATTATTTAGTAATAGAATAAAAAAAATTTAATGATATTAATCTTGTTTTATATTTTTTTTATGATTGTAAAGATGTTGTATTACTTGGTAATTGCTTAACAACAAACCCTAAAACTGAATAAAGCAATATATTAAAGGATATAGTATTGTAAAATTTTTGAGATCTATTCTTTTCAATAAATTTAATAAATACAAGTCTACTATTAATATACTCAACAATTTGTATAATAATCTCTTTTTTATTACAATGTTTTTTTAACAAAATATTCTGAAAATTATATTCTTGCTTTTTATTTTACTGTTACTAAAACAAATAGCTATTCCACATATTGTCAACTTGTTCTAGATAAAAAGGATACAAAACATGTAAATTTTTACAAAAAATTAGTCAATTTAATTTTTGATTATTATTCTGATTAAAATATGGATAAACAAACTAAAAAAAAAAAAAAAAGAAAATCATAGTTAGAAAATTATCGAATATAATCTTATTAGTCTCAGATATAACCCCACAACCAAAAAGCTTAAAGAGAAACATAGTCAATATCATTGTTTATATTGCTATAAATGTGTAACTACTTGTTGTATCTGTTTTGATACAAAAGCTTTGTGTATAAATTGCTGAACAAATCACATTTATAACATATATAGTTTTACTTCTACAAGGTTAAAACTTTTTTCACAGATTTTTCTATGTTTGTTCTACAATACTCTAAATTTTAATTGATAATTTTTTTTAATAGATCCCAAGAAGGTTTTGAATAGTATACTATATGTAGTACATCCTTTTTGCAAAATTTCCTATATGTTTAAGATTATATAATTTGTTAACTACATAATAAAAATAAAATAAAATACTACTATCATATAAAGTAACTTTTAATAATTTTCTCAATAAAATATTTTTTAAATTTTATAAGTTTTGAGCCTTCTATAAATTTTATAAAGTGTACTACTAGTAGTACAAAATGTGAAACCCTAACTATTAATTATTAAATTATAATTATTTTATTTAATATATACTGTATTATATTAAAATTATATTAAATATATTTAAAATTTTTTTATATAATTTCTTGTATTAAATAAATATTATACATTTATACCATGTCTAAATTTTCAACATCAATTCTGCATTTCAGATATCATGCTTATAATTATCATCACATTTGAATGATAATACTGATTTAAAGATAAAACCTGTTAAAAAGCCTAACAATTATTTAACCAACAATTATTTTGAGATTTTGTAAGGTTATGAGTTCGACAGGGCGGCACAAAGCAGCATAAATTCCGGCTAAAATAACGTAATGCAGGCCGATCTGCGGCTTGTGTCATAGAATAGCCAATTGAAAATCGAGAATATGCAGTGACGTAGATCCCGAACTCGGGGAGACCGCCCTGTCGAATTCGTAAGGTTGTAGAAAAAATTTATTAGTGAAATCATTCTCTGGATCATGTTTGATTTAGAAATCCTTAACTGCCTGTGATCATGAATATGAAAAATTTGGATAAATTTGGGTTGTAGCCAGCATTAAGACAGCAGGCGATTTTGGCCTCTAAGATCTTGAAATCGGTTCAAACCAGTCCTCATGGTCAGAATTAAGGTGGCCAAATTTTTAATTTTATTATTAAAAGATTTAGCGTTAGTGTTGGCACTATTAAATTTATTAATTCTGTAATTAATCAAACAATTGAATCGGAAAATCATGAAGCTATGATTTATACGTTGTTGCGACCGGTGGAAGAGCTTTATAGGGTCTTGAACCAATTTAGCTTCGATCATGAACAAATAGTGATTAAGGTCAAATTGTTTACACACATAATACAAGTTATAGGGTTTCTCTTTATTAACATAAATCAATACATCGGATTATTTATTACAATAATACTAAATACTATTAACAATCGTACTAACAACCGTTATTCCCTTCATAAACTGAAACTACATTCTTATATATCTAATTCGTATGGAGGCTTCAATCCCTTCAATCACCCATCCATGCCACAAACTATACCAAAATAAGAAATTCATAAAATAAAAAATTGACGTCAAAGATCTGATGCCAAAATGGTTTCGGACTTGAAATAAACTTGAAATTTCGAGATTGACTTTCGGTTCAATAGCAAATTTCTAGTTGACTGGATTTAATAATATATTCCTATTATAACCACCAAAATCATTTATGTATATACTGATACTTAAAAATACTATCACTAAAGTTTTAAGTGATTTCATTATGCAAGCTCCGTACCTACGTACGTACGTAATGATCTTAGTGACTATGCTGCTTCACAAATTAATGCAAAATTTATATAAATACAGAAATCATGAAACATATTATTTCCTCAAATCGTACAAATATTCATAACATTTCACGTTTTAAACGTATTACCTAGTTTTTGCGGACGACTTATATCAAAAATTGTCATACGACCATACACTATTTGTGACTTTGTGATATTACCATTCCTACGTATTTACATTAACCTTAACATTTGATATTTCTTAAGAATAATGCCTCACGACGACGGTATAGTTTTGTCTTAACAAACATTGTCTTATGTTAATTATCCAATTTTCCAATGACTAATACTGCAGTTGTAAACATATAGATCAAATTACTGAATCGCTTCTTAATGGTTTGACCTAGCAAATATTTGGTCGTCTTGCATTAATTTTTTGACCTGTATTATTATTTTGAAATTATAGGAACTGCTACAAAAGATAAAACCCATGATAGTGGTTCGTAGAAAATGTTGGTCATGGTATTAATTTTTCTAACCTAATCAAATTTACTAATGATATGTTTGAATCTGTAGTTACAGTGAAAAGTAATAATATTTTAGTAACTATTATTTAGTTCAATCGCAATTATTAGTTATTACTGTAATTTCAAAGATATATCTACATTTTTAGAACTGAGTTTAAGCTCAGATGAACTCTCGGTATACAACAAATTGAATAGTCAAGAAAAGAAGGTTTTTTTGAAAGCAATTAAGAAAAGTATAGAAGAAGGAAAGGAAGAAGAACGCAAAAAAGGAGTACGTTTGTTTTAATATACATCTATTCATTTATAAAATTTTACTAACATTATATTAGTTTTTTCGTCGCTTTTTTTCGAAATAGAAGTTCTATACAAATTTAGTAATCGCTTCCTTCATTATCGCAATCACTATAGCATTTAATGTGCTTGATGTAATAGTAAAAAATGAATATATTATTAAAATTTTTATAATAGCTTTAAATTCAATTGTATTTTGTGTTCAGTTAGTTTGGTCAGGGTCATAACCATCCGAGAAAAACCAGATAATCAAAAAAAAATATTTTACTCTTACATTTTTTTTTTTCTGTTTGTATTATACACGTCTATTTGATTGCAAATATTTCTTTACAACAGTAAGAGGAACCTCTTTATCATGATTTTTGTTCTGCACTTACGTAGACTTAATCCATCTATAAAAAAAAAATTTTTAATATCGGGAATTAATAATTTGCAGTCTCCGAATTTATTAAATACGTAACGCAGAATTTTGTTAAAAAAGTATAATCTTCGCAGATTACGTATAATACCTAATATCACTGCAGAATTGTGAATAATAACCAATTTTACCAAGATATTTGCTTTCCTGGTAAGTACGCACTATTGGCACTTTTTTTTAAGTATATATATTTATTACGTATTTTAAATATTCCGTGTAAGATATTCAAGTTTATAATATTTTTATTTATTCAGTTAATTAGATGTGTAAGTATAGGAAAATTCATTAATTTAAGATGATTAAAAAAACACATTGAAAGAATATACGTAGATGACCTTTAATACGTACGACAAAACCGTAAGCCTTTCTTGTAATGCTAATTTTAATAAAGTCTGTACTATTTTATATTCTAAAATTCTAAAAGTATTTCAGGTTTATTATTTTGATGAGTAAATTTGTTTTTTTTTATTTTTAATATATAAGTTACTATACGTATAACGATAACTGCTAAATTTCGAAATCTTGCAGTTTGATTGGACATTACCATCCTCACGAATAGCAGATAGTCAACTGAATTTCCACGTGATGATGAGAATTTCGGAAATTTATATAATCCCTTATTAGCGTTATGAAACACTTCCTGCTTTAATTCACTAACGCTAAGATGTTAATCCATCAATCATCCAAATTTATAAGATTCTCTTCGGTCCGATTTTTATCTACTACTATTCCTAAAAATGCCGCTCTTACTCGTCCTACCTCACCCGAGTCAGTAAAAAATACATTATATGATAGTTCAAATTATCAAAATAAAGAGAATTCGTTCCGACTTTCACCAGATTTCGGAAAAAATCAACATTTACCTATTGATAATGAATTTAAGGAAAATTTAAGAAAAGTATTATTTAATTTTAATGCACCAATAAGATATTCTTTTGCATATGGTAGTGGTGTATTTCCACAAAAAGGTTACGAATTAAAGGTATCGTTTATTAAAATATTTAAATAAAAAAATGGGTTTAGATGTTTTTTTTTTTAATTTAATATTCATCAAAAACTATGTACGTCCGTTCATAATAGCCTAAACCAATGGTGGATTTTATTTTCGCCGTTAGTCATTCTCAACATTGGCATTCTTTAAACTTGAATAAAAATAGAAATCATTATTCTTTTATGGGAGGACTTGGTAGCCGAGCTGTGACAATTTTACAAGATGATCTTGGAGCCGGCATTTATTTTAATCCACAAATAGAAATGAACGGAATGGTATGTGTAATGTATAAAAATTAAATTAGGAATTTTTATTATTTTTAATTCTTTAAAATTTATAATTGAATTTTTTTTTTCATATAGGAAATTAAATATGGTGTAATTTCAATTGACAAATTGTGCAAGGATCTCTTAGATTGGGAAACACTTTATGTTGCAGGAAGAATGCATAAGCCCGTAATTATTATTACTATAATTTTTATGTATGATTCTTAATGTAAAAAAAAATGCGTATTAATTTTATGTATTAAAAAAAAAAAAAATCATTAGATAAAAATATTACAAGACGATGCACGTGTTCGATTGTCACAGCAAGTAAATCTGGCAAGCGCCCTGCGAACATCTTTGCTTATGCTTCCAAAAGATTTCTCGGAAGAACAACTTTATTTAACAATTGCGGGATTATCTTACGAAGGTTAAATAAAATTGCTTTAAATGAACAATTTTTTTAGTATTATATTCATACTGATATTTTTTTAATTTTTCTTGCAGGTGATTTTCGTAAATATATTGGAGAGAATCCACATAAAATAAAAAATATAGTTTCAAAACAGGCAGATACCTTTAAGATATTATATGGAGAATTGATTCAAGGAATGCCAAATGTTTCATTTGTAAGCAACGGAAAACTTCAGGTATAGTCAATTGTTATATGTTAAAATACATAATTCAAAGATCGGTGATAATTTTATGCTTTTATCGAAAAGGTAACAATACAGAAGTTTCTCGTTATAAAATAGCAAGACGATAATCCCAAAGCTCGTGCTAATATGTTGGAAAAGTTACCAAAAACATTGAGATATAAAATCCGTGAACAGTATGGATTCCACTTAGTCAAAAAAGGGCGACCTTTGCCATCAGGTAAGTAAAATATTTAGTAACTTTAACATTATTATCATTTTAAATACTTTAATTTTTTGTTTACAATTATTGTTTATTTTTATTTATAATTATTGTTTATTTTTATTTCGATAAAAAGATGATAAGGAAGTTTACAAGGGTATAGCATCTTCTGACGAATACGTGAAATACATTAAAGCCGGTAAATAGGTTATTTACTTATTTTTTTTCATTTGCATCATTTGTTACTTCTCATTTAAAATGAATATGCTTATTACAGGATTACGTGGAATTATTTTTCGTCCTTCTGTTGTTCAAAGCCTTAAAGGCATATTAACAGCAGGGTTTATTAAGAGTAGTAAATATACCGCAAATAAATTGGGAAAATGGTTTTCGAGACCACAATGATTTCTTTTAGAGGATAATTTACGTATTTTGTCCATAACTGATTTAGAAGATTTGGGATTTAAAAGATTAAAATTATGTTATTTTTCATTTCTCATTTATGATACGGGATCAATATGATGGAGGGTCTTTGAAATTTGTACAACGAGCAACATCTCAACTGATTTGAGTTCATAATGCTGGCAAAATCTCTTATTCTTTTGAGTTTGCTCGGAATGTAACATGAATATCAAATAAAGTCAAATTACAAACTATTGAATATATTTATGAAATGTAGTTTTATACGTATTATTGATGATATAAGAATAACAATGATAATTATAAATTATATCTGATATGGATGCTAAATAAATAAAAATCCGCTTGTTAATATAATAGTTAAGATCCAGCCCACTTTTCCAATAAAATAAGCATCTCCAAATAATCGATTTCCACTACTTTTACTTGTATTGGTTGAATTGTCGCTGGAATCATTAACATCAAATGTTGGATCCCACAAAACATTTTTAGGTTGCAAAGCCTGAACATTGAATGCTAATAATTTTAAAGTCACTTCGGCTTGTGCTGTTGTGTTATCGACGTTGACATTTTCGAATGTGTGGTTCGCTTGAAATATTATTTTTTGATCGACTTGAACATCCACTTTATTAGAATCAGCTAAAATTGTTGAATTCCATTCAAATTTTCCAGAATCAGATGTGAAAGCTGTTGAGTTATTGTAAGTAAATAATGATTTAGATAATATCATTTTTATTATAGAAATTTTAGAATTTTGATAAATGTAAGGAAAGTTATTAAACTCGAGAGAATATTTAATTTGAGATGGTTTAAGCGTGATTCCATTTTTGTTTATTGTTGTTGTGTTTCTTAATTAAGAAAAATATTTGAATAATCAATATTAAATGACATATAAAAATTCTTTAACATTTTTTAATTCTTAAATAAAAACATACCCAGTAGCATAAGCAGAAATCGTAACATTTAAATTACTTTCTGGTTGATCATGAGCGATTAAAGTAGTTTCAATTCCTTTTAGTCCATTAGCTTCATCGGCAGTTTTTCTAATATTACTCCATAATGTATCTTTTCCGACAAAACTATATAAACTTTTACTATCCTTAATTCCTATTGTATCATTATATTCAACCAATCCTAAAATTGCTACTACGAAATCAAGTGCATCTTTTGTCTCGTCTTGGGATTTAAATGCATTAATCATAAAATATGGAACATGATTTGTGGTAAAGTAGAATTTATATGCCAATGCAGAAGTGGATGTTAAAGAAGTGGATCTTAGAAGAAGTTGGTGTGGAAGAAGTTGTGCAACTGTCAAATTTCGTGAAGATTGAGAATAAATGCAAGAAGGAAAAATGAAAAGTAATATTGTTAAAATAAAGATTCGATATATAGCCATCGTGAAAGTTAACTATCTTTCTTTAATATACTTTAATGTTATAATAACTTGTGAGTTTTTTTAATGGTAAATTTCATCTTTTTATATACACTCGTATCTCTACAATATATGTTACTCATGTATTCTTCGTAACGCATCAAAAACTCTAAATATTTTGTCTGCTTAAATTAGTTTTTGCCTCTTGTAGCAATATATTGCATGGCACACATCAATGTAACGTTATAATTCCAATGTACCCATTTACACAACAATAATTGTATGATTCAAATGTTAAAAGAATTAAGAATGCCAAGAATGCCAAGAATGCCAAGATTATAAAATCACTTTAGATTGTAAACAAAAAATTGATGTAACTCAAATGATAGAGCCGAGGTTTAAACAACAAATGAGTTATTAAATAACTCTCATCTCATTAAACTATAGCTGTTTTCGAAAAAGTGTAAACATGATTTCCTTGATTCCGCGAATAAGAGAAATCAAAGGGAAATGAGGAAATCAAGGAGTTTGTGTGGATTTCCTATGATATAATGGTTTATACCTGGTTACACCTTTTTGAAAACAGCTATAAAATAGATTTTTTCATTATTGATTGTGAGTGAGAGCGAGAGAAAATTCTTGTGATTACATGCAAGTCCCTAACAAGATGTTCAAAAACATAAAGGTTCTTTCAAATAATGGCATGTTCTGTAACTGTTCGCGTACTTAGCCAGTGTTATTTATAGGGGGTTGATTTCGTATGCTTTCTTTTCAATCCCTTGATAATTTTTACTAGCAAAACGGCGACGCTTCATAGGGCTGAAGCCAGGGATGGTAAATGACTTGAAATGACCCAAATGACTCAAATGACTAGTGACCAGTCATTGGGTCATTTCACATTC